TACTTTGGTACCTTCCCCTTCTTTTCAGGGACAGGTATGATCAGCCAGGAAGCAGGTACTTCAGTCAAAATACAACACCAATTAATCTCCATTTCTCAAATCATCGGTAAACCCAATTTCATTAGTCAACTACTGCCAAATGCCAATCCCAAGGCATTTTCAGTGCGTAAATACTTCGTCCGTTTATTTTAGTAGACATGTTTTGACTTTTAACACTATTCACAAACTGCACTTTGACTAGCTTTTAAGATTTTTAGCAATGATAAAACATAGTCATGTGAGATCTTATTTGAATCGCCTCAATGTAAATAATATTAATACCAACTCTAAATAATTTTTACATGTTGATAATTACAGATTGTAATGGCCAAATGACACAATTTTGATAGAAAAGTAATCACATCATAATACATTTAGAGTCACTTGTTGCCTTACTATACACGATTAATTTTTTATTTTTTAAAAAAAAAAACCTAGAAGCAAGCTCGTCACTTTTTTTAAAGCTAGGGAGTAGGACTAATTTAAAGCACACAGAGTCAAAGTATGTAAAACTTGCTCATTCTATTCATCAATCTCCCTTTTAAGAGTGGACAAGGCTAGGAAAGTTCACTTCTTAGTCAAATGTTGATAGAGAATTCAATATGAATTGATTTTTCTCTAATGGTTAGATAATTCACTCAAATACACTCAAGACTGCTATTTCTGATGCTCCATCAGCAAGCCAAAGTGTCAAACCCAAAGCACTTAGGTACAAACTTAATACTCTGTCCATACGACAAACCTTTTTTATTACTAAAATCAAACGTCTCTGCCAAAATCTTATTGTTTTCCTTTGAAGTAAAAGTCAATGGTTTTGAAAACTATATTCCTATCTCGCTCTCTATAACATCACCCCTAGTTTTATCTCTACTATAATAGCTTTCCTATACCCTTTTCATCTCTCCATTGACTTCCTACTATATCATCTTCATTGTCCAATACTATTCTTAAAAACCAATCAATAACAGCCATAAAGCTTAATTTGTAATGGATGAATCAGTATTCTAGGGAAATAACAAGTCTATGCCTAAGTTTTGTGTTCCTTCTCATGACAGCACAGGACTACAGGAGGGAAATTATAAGCAAACTAATTTAGAAGGGGGGGGGGGGGTTGGTGGAAAATTCTTCTCCAGAAAAAAAAAATTAACAAAGCAAACCAATGCTGATTCACGTACTAGATAAGAATTCTTACACAAGGAAGGATGGAAGAGACATTACATCAAAAGATGACAAGGAGTTCTCTAACTAACAGGAGATGAAATATAAATATAATCAATCAAAGGCTCTCAAGGCATAAGAACAAAAATGATGCAAAGATAACAACAAATCCATCGCACAAGACAGTCAATGAGATAACTCCTAGAAACAGCATTTAATCTAACACATGAAGTGCAATAATTATAATCTGATCATTATATCTCATACAACCTAAAAATCCTAGTGAAAACCTGGACTACACCCACAACCCTCTTAAGTATAAGCCACGACAATTCAGCAAACTCTCAGAGTCTCAGCACATCCAATCTCTCTCAATCACAAAAGACAGCACTAATCTGTGGTTGTTATTTGTATTGAAAGTTTCTTCCCCAGATATGGCCTTCATCCTTTTCAGAATCTCTGCTAACTAATTCGAAAGAGAGAATGGTTGTCTTTATCCAAGTGTTGGTTAAAATAGTTACATACAGGAAAAGGCACCATTGGTGCTCAAACCATTGGACTGTTAAATCAATGTAGTCTTTGAACTTGCAATTGTTGCAAATCTATCACAAGACTCACAAAAGCTAACTTTCAGAATCTTATAATCATATTTTCTTCTGAAACGTCTGAACAGATATCATTCAATTTTCTTTCTCAATTTGTCATAAATTAGACTAAAACACTATATTTCCTTCAAAATAGTAGAAACTTCCCAGACAAGTAAACTGGATACAAACAGCATTTCATGACATATCACTATTTTTAACTACATAGTCCAGTTAGCTGGTTCTAGCAATATACTCTCACATCTTCAGATAACTGATGTGAGTCCCACTAACTCCTATACTTTGTCCAACAATAACAACTTTCTTTGTCAAACGATATTCAATTAAAAGAAGGCATGGCGTAAACATGGCTATGACCAAGCTGTTCAATCTCTTATGTCAAAATTTTCATCATTATGCTAGTTGCAACATATCCAAGGAAAACCCGTACACCTAAGCACCGAGAGAAAGCTAAAACATACTTCGATTCTTCACAGGGGTAAAAATGGCATCTTAACAATGAAATAGATGCTTCCAGAGAGATTTAGTCAATTAAACAATGGAAATAATTGAGGAAAATTTCTAAAACAGAGCATCTCTTGTGTTTAATGAACCTTGTAAGCAATAAACAATAACACAGTCCATAACTATGTAGCTTAAGCCACCCTTTACTAAATTCCAGAAAAGTTAAGACATTTCAATCAGCAAAACAGCAACTATATGTCCATATCATTCAATACACCAACATTATAAACTCTCAAAGAAAGTACATATCTATGATTAGCCGACCAATCTCAAGCTTAATCAAGCCAAAATCAAGTGTTCAATATCTCTTGCACGCAGGTCAACAGAGGTCAAACAAAATCTTGACAAAATCTGGTGATAAACCAATATAAATCATGTCCATCATTAAACAAGAAGCTAAATTTCAGACTTCAGAAATAACAACAATTCAGTATCGTCTACCTAGTACCTACACATCCCAAGAGTGTCCATTATACACCCGGGTGTACATCCATTCACCCAAGGCTAATTTATGCTCATTTGGGAAGGTGAAACCTCAAAAACAATGTTTCTCACCAAAATATGCAATGTAAATGAATCCCTATCAAACCCATTATTCAATTTGGAACCAAAATTAGTAAACCCTCATCATCCATCAATCTTTACCACATTCACAAAAATCACCAAAACTCTAAAACCAAACATACTTCCAAAGCCTAAACCTCAAACATAATGTTCCTCATCGATATATACACTTCTAATGAATTGAAATCAAACCCATTCTTCAATTTGGAACCAACATTCAGTAAACCCTCATCATTCATCAATCTCTATTTCTTGCACAAAAATCACCAAAGAACCACAATCCAAATAACACAATCCCCTCCCCACCACCCCCTCTTCCACAAGAATCAACAAGAACCTCATGTTACTAGTTCAAATTACACTATCAACACAACTATCATATAATTCAAAACCAAGGCAATACAAGTATACAACTACTACATTAAATGACATAAACTAAACTTAAAATCAAAAGTTAAAAAAAAAAAAAAGAAAATTTGATATACCTTAAGAGAGAAATTGAGAGCAACAGAAGGGTAATATCGAAGAACACTGCTACCATTACCCCTCCAAAGAGAGACAAAACCTTCTTCCTTGACCATACTAACAATGCAATCAAACATACCCTTAAATTTCCTGTGTTTTCCAACCCCAATTGCAATGTTACTCTCTTGTGTTTGCAGCAAAAGCTTAGCTCGTTCAATGGGTGCAACAATGGTGTGAACTACACCCCCCATAACTGCCCCCGCCATTAAATCTCTCTGAAAGCTCGTCGCATACTTCCAAGATTTGTAAGACGAAGACCCAGTTGATGGTTTTGACTTTGATGGGGTTTCTTCTCCTTCTTCTTCTACCATCATTACAAGTTGATTTTCTCTCTCTACTAATTCTTGCTGAAATTTGATGGGTTTTCTTTCAATGGGTGATTGTGATTGTTAAAAGGGTTCATTGCCTTACTGATTTAAATGCTGTAATTTGGGGTGAAATGAAGAATTCTTGTTTGAATTTTTCTGGTTTTGAGTTGATCGAATTGAGGGATTCTTTGAATGTTTTAGTTGGGATTTTTGTGGGAAGAGTCTATGATTTTGTATGAATATGAAAATGAGTTTTTTTTGGGGTTTGTATTAAAAGGGGTTTTGTGAATGATAGAATTCGACTACAAACAAAGAACAAGGATAGGAACAATTTTTATTTGCAGCACCAAAAATTCTTTCCTTTTCTTTGGGGTCAATCTCTTCTATCACACGTGGCAATAATGATTTTATCCAAATTCCTAAATCACTTCTTATAATTTTTCAATTTCGTCTTCTTGTTTCCATGAGTAAATTGATTTGGTTTCTAATTAGGGATGGAAATATTCGTCGTATGACTAATTGACTAGGGCTTGTTCTTATAGACTGAACTCAATTGAACTGAATATTTTATAAGAGAAGGAAATTAGGAGCCGAACTGAATTAAACTGAAATGTACTGAACTAAACTGAAAATAAACATATGAGAACATACCCTTAGATTCACCTTATTTTGAAACCTTATTATGTGGGTTATTCACATTTATTGAACTGCGCTGAACTGATTGGAGCTTGACTGAATTGAACTGATTGAAGCTGAAATGAATATTTTATGAGAGAAGGAAATTAGGAGTTGAACTGAACTGAACTGATTGGAGCTGGACTGAATTGAAATTAAGCTGAAGTGAATAGACCCTGCATACTAATTTTAGATCAAATCAGAAAAAAAATAATTAAGTTTAGATAAGATCAAGTAAAAAAAATACTACGTATAAGTTCCAAACATAATTTAAATTATAAAGAATAAGTACTACCTCCGTTATATATTATTTACAACAATTTGACGTAAAGTAAAAAGAGAAAATGTTTAATTGTTGCAAATAATAAGTAACGAAGGTAGTAATAGATTAATCACCAACTAGACAACAATAATCACATAAAACTTTATGCAAAAGCCAATGTGATGATCTTAAAAATGAAGGAGAGTAAGAATCTTGTTGATCAAGTTTTCAATTCTTAAGGCACCATTTAGAATTGAAAAAATCCTCCTTCTTTGATGAAGGATAAAGGTGTCTACAACACATACGATTTAATCAAACTCGACTGAAAAGTTCTAATGGGACAAAATCACAAAACACAAACTAATAAAAACATTTTTTCTTGAAATTGGTTGAAGTTTTCTTCACGAATGTAGGCAAGCGAAATGCTGCAGCATGCATCTGGAAAACAATTGGAACTGAGATTAGAAATAATATAATAATATAAATAATAAATTTGAATTTTTTCTGTGGAGGCGGATGAACCATGCTTGGTGCATCCGGTGTTCTTTAAAAAAAAAGCGGAATGAACATTTAGTTGTTCAGTAAAGAACATATAGTTGTTTTATAAAGAACATATAGTTATTTTATAAAGAACATCTAGTTTTATATGTTTTTTTTTGTAAATCTAAAGAACATTTGTAATATTAGTAAAGAACATAATAATATTAAAGAACATTATTCATATAGTAAATGTACATTTGGTATAAATGACCATGTATGCATATAAAAAAGTACATTTTATTGTGGTTTCAAAAAAAAAAAGTACATTTTATTGTATTATAATGTACATTGTATTATATTCTAATGAACATATATGTTATAATGTTGGTTACATGTTTAATGTACATTGTATTATTTGCATCATGTAAGTATATGAAAAAAGAACATTTTACTGTATTTTAATGTACATTGTATTATTTGAATTTACAACTTTTTTCTAAAATTGTCTATTTGCTTGCTTTCTTCTTCAAAAATGGATTAATCGTACGATCTTCTTCAAGAACTTCATTTTATTTCTCATTGCAACAACAAAATAACATCAAAATCGCAATTTCCCAAAAAAATCAAATATTACAATTTTCAATCAAATTTATAAAAAACAAACACTCAAAACTCAAAATAAACAAGTATGAATGTCGAATTTGGTCTTACCTTTCGTTTTTATTTGTCATCTTGAACAATTTTGGACTCAAAATTTCGAATTTCTTGAAATTTTACTTGAGGTTTGAGGAATTTAAATGGGTTTGAAGTTTTGTTTGGAAAGAGAAAGTAAACTTTTGGTAAAAAAAAAATAAATTGAAATGATTGTAATTAATGTATGGTAAAAAATAATTATAGTACTATTTATCTATTTCATTATACAAAAATAATAATTATATTATTATACAAAAATAATATACAAAATTGTTGCACAAAAATCTGATGTACATTATAAATGAACACTATGTTCTTTTATGTATATGCCCATATACATTATAAATGAACACTATGTTCTTTTATATGCTCATGTACATTAGTATATACCTGCATGTTCATTCCGCATTTTTGTACTTTGGAGCGGATGCACCATGAGGATCGTGCATCCGCCTTCACGAACCAAGCTTTAACCTTATTTCCATTTATTACAAGAATACAAGATATATTGCGCTAAAAAAAGAGTTATTAATTTCTTACAAGTATATAATAAGTTTAATACTATAATAAATAATTTTAAATAATTTCTTATTAGGGAAACTTATTTATAATTTACAGATAAAATAAACTAAGGGTCTGTTCATATTTACTTAATTTCAGTTCAGTTCAGTTCAGTTCAGCTCAGTTCAGTTTAGCTCAGTTTAGTAAATATGAACAGACCCTAAATTAAGTATGTTTCAGATAATTCAAAATCTAAAATAAACTAAACTTATTTGTAATAGTTGATTGAGCTTCGATCATATATTTAGCCGCCTGTTGGTTAATATAGATTTTTGAAAAAGTTGTCATTAGGCATATATATGTGCCGTGAGAGCTTTTTCTTGTAAGCAAAGAATATAGCAAAACTGTACGTGTCTTCATAATAGGATGTATATGAAAATATTAAATTAATATATTGAGTGAATGAGTGACTGAATCATTTCAATACACCAATGTGGAAATTGTAAATATTTAAAAACATTCATACTATATAAATATATTGACTGAGTAAGGTCTTGTGTAGTTCACCTTATTTTACTTATTTCAGAAAAAACAAGTCTAGATCAGATCAAATTTGAAAAAAATATGTTCATATCATATTAAATCACAAAAAATAAGTTCATATCATATTAAATCACAAAAAATAAGTTCAGTTCAGATCAGATTATCGTTTCATGTGCAGTTTTTTATCGCTAAATATCTTTAATTTTGTAATAAAAAAATTATGAAAATCACATATTAATAAGATACACATTATTATGAATCTAACAAGACCCGACTTGATAAATTTTTTCCGTGTAGATTATCGCATATTTAAAAGGTCAAAATTTGGTTAAATTTGACATTCGGATTAGACCAGACCAAACCAGAACAGATTAGATTAGATCAGATCAGATCAGATTAGATCATACCAGACCACATAAGATCAGATCAGATCAGATTAGATAAATTCAGATAAACAAGAATAAGGTGAACCAAACAGCCCTAAATCATTTTTTTTTTCAATACACTAGTTGAATGACACTTTGTGATGTCAAAAAAAAATTACTTTAATTTGTAAACAACAACAACAATAATATTAATACTTACCTCTGTTAACCATTATTTACAACAAAGGGATATTATTTTTAAGATATAAAATATTCCTTTGTTACAAATAATAGTTAACGGAGGTAGTAATAATAAGCGATTTTGAACCTATTACCTCTGAGTTATAAAATTTCAACGGCTGGTTTGATATCCCAGAGTTTTCCTTTTCGTCTAACGGGTTGACCGGGTGCAAAAAGTCAACAGGTGGCCCTTCAGTGGAGCAAAGCATGTATCCTATGACGCCACTGAAATTAAGAAATTTAAAATGGGAAAACTTAAGGATAGTAAAATTTTAAGGCTAATAGTGCTATTTTCCTATTGATTTTCTTTATCTTAGTATACAACCATAAGTGAGCTAGTTATGCAAGTATCATCCAATTTCAATCCATTATTGAGTATTCTTAACAGACAATTATTATCGGCTCATTTTGATATACATGAAAAAAATGTACGTTACTAGTCACAAAATTACAACAAGATCAACGACCCTCCTATATTTATGACTTCTATTAAAATATTACTTCTTTCAATTCAGAACATTAATAAGGAACTTTCGTTTGAAAGCAAAGGGAGTACGTACCTTTGGTAGAAAGGTACACTACTCCAAGCATAGTTAACAGATCCTTTGAGAATTTTGCGGCACATAGAGATGTTGCTTTCAAGGTCAAATTCTTGGTTCCAGAAGCTTTCTGCACCAGCACATAGCACACCTCCTGGGCGTAGCGCCTTCGCCACTGTTTCTAAGAGCCCTTCCTCCACTAGCTCATTGGCATCATACCCTACATCACGTGTTACATGCGGCGTGTTACTTAATAGGTCCATGAAAGTACACAATAACATGACCAAAAACTTAAATGAACAAATAGAGTTAGTTTATCACTTCATCCTTAGATAGATCGAAGCCAACTTAGATGTGTTTATGTACATACTACATACCCTTACACCTAATAACCTAAATCATGTAATGTGACATTATATTGATGATAAAACTAATGACTATTTCACCAAATGCCACTGAGTACTTAAAAAATTCATCAAATGTCATCAAGTTTTTCAAAATTCACCAAATGCTATCGAGCTTTTAAAATATTCACCAAATGCCATTAATGACTAACGGCCGTTAACTCCGTTAGTCATTAAGATTAAATCTTGACACGTGTCATTATATGATTGATTCATTTTAATTAATAAAAATAATATTTTTTTTCTTCATTTTCGTGGCAAAAATTGCTCGACTATAGTTTTGGGGGTCATTTTGTGTCTTTATGGACACAAATCAAGCTCGGAATTGACAAAAAAATAACGTAAATGCTCCGTTTTGTGTGTTGAAAAATATTTCGATTATCGTGTCGTTATTTTTTAACTATCAAAATTGATCGGGTTAGGTTTAAGGGGTCATTTTGACCTTATATGGGTACAAATTAAGCTCAGAATTGACAAAAAAAATAACATAAATGCTCCGTTTTGTGTGTTGAAAAATACTTCGATTAGCGTGTCGTTATTTTTAAGCGTCAAAATCGGGTAAGGTTTTGGGGGTCATTTTGATTCTTTATAGAAACAAATTAAGCTCGAAATTGACTAAAAAATAACATATATGTCCTATTTTGTACGTCAATATCGTAATTTTTTTTTCGAAAAAAAAATGTGAAACGGGGTATTTACGGTTTTTTTTTTTTTGTCAATTTCTAGTTAAATTTGTACCCATAAAGGGTTAAAATGACCCCCCAAAACCTTACCCCGAACAATATTCGTCACTAAAATCGAAAAAAAAGTATTATTTTTATTCATTAAAATAAATAATTATTGTGTATTAATTTTAAAAAGTAATGGCATTTGGTGAAATAATTTTCCAAAGTAATGGCATTTGGTGAAATAAGAATTGCATCAACAGAAAACTAACGTCCAAATGCTAATAGTGGCACGATGTGTCATTGTATTGTTTGTCAGTGGCATTTGGTGAATTTTGAAAACTTTAATGGCATTTGGTGAATTTTTAAGTATTCAGTGACATTTGGTGAAATAGCCGTAAAACTAATGCAACTTATTACAATACATTTATGTTAACCTAACTATATTATTTAATAATTTTGGATCAATCATTTTTCTTATTACTATTTATTTTGAAATGATTTTTCTTACTTTTTCATCAATTATCCACACAACCTTTCAAACCTTCAATTTTCAAAACCTACGCTTTCCTTTATTATTTTAAATTTTAATTTTTTAACACATCAGAAGGGGTACATTTTAGTTTATTTAGCACGCATGCAATCAGAGGATAAAACAATATATGTAATAACTAATATGGGCAAGTGAAAAACCTAGTAAACATATTATTACACGTACGACGCGAAGAAGAAAGGGAGAGTGAGGGGGTGCAATTGACTTACCCAAGGAACCTATGACATGAAATGCATCCAATATCACAACATCATAACTTCCTTGAGGAACAGACTTTAGAAAGGCCACTCCTATAATAAGGAGACCACTTGGTTAGGAACTTTGGAATAATTAGTAAATAAATTAAGGTTATAATTAAGTAAATTAAGATGATGATTAATATTTTTAATTAATCAATTATAGAGCAACTTTTTTTGTTGGTCTTACCATCTCCCACATGTAACTTCACTTGGGGATCCTTGTAGCCAATTGCTATGTCTGGGAAATAAGTTGCATAAACCTGGAATATGTGTCAATAAAAACTTTGGTTTAGAGTTTAGAGTCTCTTAGTTTCAACTTGTTATAGTTTATATTGTCAATCTTAATTCAACCAAAAAAACTAAAATAACTAAAACAAAATAAATTTCAGATTAGTGTTTTATGTTCAAGCAAAATACGAGTATATTATTATGACACATGCACGCTCACTTATGAAGTCTAAGGCCACGTTCTCTTCACAATAGAGCTAGAGAAAGTATATAATTAAATCCTATTGCATGCACTCTCGCTCCCTAATGTTCCAAACCTAATGGTCTATTTAGTAGGGAGTGAAAATGGTGGTAATGTAATGAATTTGTAGAATCGTGCTTGTTTATAAGGTTATGTCCGCATCAATTACAATTTATCTAGATGCGAATTTTTTTTTTTTTTTTGGGAGTGTTGGGTAGATGAAATCTCATGAAAGAATCAAAAACACAATTAATTTGAAGATGGAGCGAGCTTTCAATTTTCTTAGACATGAATTACAAACGACATTCCCTGCGTAAATAATCACTTAATAATTTATTATACGCCAATTATCATCTTCAAGGACTTCATCTTTATCTAGTATGAAGTATTTAGCTTTAATTAAACATATAGAAATTAGAAAACAACTCACATCTACTGTCATCTGGTCAAGCTCGCATATGTCAATTTGCTCCAAGGAAGGATGCCGAGATGCTTCACGTAAAATTCCACCATCTCCTCCTCCAATCACCAATAACTAGAATTAAGAAATTTAATTTAAACAAGATTATATCAATTAAATGTTTAATACTACCTCCGTTAAGTGTTTGTGCAACTTTGAAATATTTTATATTTCACAAATAATATCCCAAAGTTGCATATAACAATTAACTGAGGTAGTAAATATTACTCCTTCCATGGGTCAAAAGGAATAATATTTAATTTCTCGAATATGTATGTAATAATTAATTAAAGGAAAAATTAGAAAAAATAATCCCAACTTTCATCAATTTTGGTACAATAATCCTAACTTTGGATTATTCTAGAATAATCCAAACTTTGGGGGGTTTTCATTTTCTTCAGTCCTAATGACCGGTTACCTGTTGAGAAGGTTAATTTTTTATTTTAAGTTTTTTTAAAAGCCACGTGTCAGCTTGTCATTGGTCCAAAAAAAAAATTAAAAAAATCCCCCCCCCCAAACCACCAGTTCCCCCACCTAAACCACCCCCTCCCACTAGCCCCTCACACCCCGAAATTACCCCCACCCTGCCGGAAAAACTTCCCCTACCCCCCGACCACCACTCCCCACCGCCGAAACACCCCCTCTCCCTTCCCCGGCCCACCCACGAAACCCTCCCCCCTCCCCTTCCCCCACCCACGAAATTAAGCCCCCTTGTCGTTTCCGGCCGTTTTCGAGGGAGGGGGGAGTTTTTACGGGGTGGGGAAGGAGGGGAGGGTTTTACGGGGGTGGGGGAAAGGAGGGGGGAGGGTTTCGTGGGTGGGGGAAGGGAGGGGGAGGTGTTTCGGCGGGTGGGGAGTGGTGATCAGGGGGTGGGGGAGTTTTCCGGCTGGGTGTGGGGTAATTTCGGGGTGGGGGCTTGGGGAAGGCTGGTTGAGGGGGTGGTTTAGGTGGGGGAACTGGTGGTTTGGGGGGGGTTTATTTCTAATTTTTTTTATTTTTTTTTGGACCAATGACAAGCTGACACGTGTCATGTGACCTCTTATTAAAGGTTGTTGACTCTCGTTGACCGGTTTGGGACTGAAGAAAATGAAGATCCCCTAAAATTCGGATTATTTCAGAATAATCCAAAGTTGGGATTATTGTACCAAAATTGATGAAAGTTAGGATTATTTTTTCTAATTTTTCCTTAATTAAAAGACAAGGAACGAGGCATACCTTCTTAGGGTTAGGGATGGAGCAAAGAGGAAGGTGTGTTAACATTTCTTGGTACGCCCACTCGTCCCTCTCAGTTATTTGAAGTTCTTTATTTAGAACCAAAATCTTCTCGTATGATGCATTCTTTTTAAATAAAATACAAAATACAAATTAATACTCGTAGGAATGTACAAATAAAGTATATTTCTCACTATGAGTTAGCAATAATGTACAAAATAAAATCAAAATTCCTTATTCTATTTCCTTATTTTTCATGAAAATTGAAATTTAATTGGTATACTTGTGATTATTACTATGAGTATATATATTTAAATCAAAAGGTGAACTTTTTTTTTGAGGGGATAAATCAAAAGGTTAACTTGTTTTCATTCTACTCCATACTTTATAAGCTAAGGTAGAAATGATTATGGTGTATGGAAAATGTTTGTCTTAATAAGATTTTTTTTTTTTTTATTATTATTATTTATTATTTTTTTTGGTTTTTTTTTGTTTGTTTAGAGAGCCATAAGGGTTGGGGTTAGAATCAATCCCAGGATCGATCAAAACTGAGAGAGAAACTCTAACCACTTAGCTACGGAATACTAATCTATACCATTACACGTACCATGTCATCATCAAAATTAATAACAAAATAATGAGTTGTTTTTAAGTGAGATATGGAGTACTAATCTATACTAATCTATCCTAAGAACGTCGATGTGCCACACAATTGTTGCGCCACGTCATCTTCTCATGACGCCACATAATCACTCAAATAATGCCACGTCACCCAAGCAACCAGCATTACTCCATATAAAAATATAAGGATAGGGAGGTTTGAACCCTCAACCTCTTAAATAAAAGATAACTATTTTATTAACATGTAAAAAAAAATATATATAAGTGCAATTGTGCAAACCACAAGCCACAATGTTTAATATTTTTTTTTTAAAAAAAAAGATACTAAAACAATCGTTAATGGATCATTTCTTTTAAAAAAAAAAAAAAAAAAAAAAAAAAAAAAAACTCAATTTTTAACAATAACAATTGCAGTTTTGAAAAGTATTTAAAAATTTTTTATTGATTGCACATCTTTAACGGTAGCAACCTAGACAACACCCAAATTAATTATGACATGACATCATAATAAGCATATGGTTTTTTTTCCCTCTTTTCTAGAGGGAGATACTATGTGAAAAATGTCAATTTGTCATACCTCAAATACAAGAAAATCTTGATGTCCATTGAAAAAATATTACAAAAATTAGGATTTTGTGTATTTTCTTACCTTTTTTTTAATTTTTTTTATAAATATTTTAACTATCTTTTATTTGTGGGAGGAAACTCTAATTGCCTAATGTATAATACGGAGTATTATTATTATTATTATTATTATTATTATTATTATTATTATTATTATATATAATTGGTTTTTTTTTTCCCTTTATCCACCAATTTATCATCTTTAGTTCTTTACTCAACAGTCAACACATTGTTAGACACATAAGATTGTGACGATTTTTTTATGTCATACATATTGTGACTTTTAGCTGGAATATGTTCCATTCAACTTATTTAAATCGATATTATATTTTTTGTCAGAAAAAAAAAGTTGATATTTGCCTAAATAAAATATAATCAAATCAAATTAGACCAGACTAAACTAGATTATAGTATCAGATTGAAAATATAATATTTCGAAAGTTCATAGCTATACTAGTCTAATGACATTTCATTTGATGAGTTTTTTTATCTTATAAATTAATGTATAAATAAGGTCAAAATTTGCTCAAATACGAAAATTAGATTAGACATATCAAAGCAAATTTTATTTAATTCATACGTGTACTAAATAACAAACCAGAAAAGTTTTAACCAGATTAGAAAAATGTTAATCGGATCTAGTGAACTGAACAAAACAGAACATAGCCTAAACATTTTCCTTTTTTTTTTGGACAAATGCTTATAAAAACTGTTATTAAAGCATATAATATATTTTCGATTAAAGAAAATAAAGGAGGATTAGAGATTGTTATATATATCCACCAGGAAATTCGTGGCACTTATTAACATACCATCCATGAATCGAAGGATTAATCTTTTCGAGTGCATTCTCACACCCATCATTCTCGACAATGCTACTATTTTCCACTTCTTGATGACCCTTCACAACGACGTCGTCTTTGTTGTTGCTAGCATCAATTGTAATAGCATTTTCAGCAGCCATTTTTGTGATTCTTTCACGATAGATTTTACTTACAACTGTGTACTAAATTAGGCCACTATATGTATATACTTGAAGGTTACAAAGAGGATTGTAATAATATAAAGATGCCAATAGGATATAATTCACGAGGCCAACGTTAGTTGTGAATTATTTGCATGTCATAGGATAAGCATGCATGAATCTTACCATAATTTCGTGCATGTTTACCAATTGCCTATTCCATTTAACTTTGACCCCACTTTCTGTTACCCTTTTTTTTTTTTTTTTTTACAAGACATTTTCTGTTACTCTATTGATTTTAGAATGTATAATAATTGACATAATTTGACCTTTTACACTATTTATGTATATACTTTGACCATTGTATTAATACTATTAATGTTTTAAATTATGTTGTTAAATTAATATGAGTATTAGTTTTACATATATTATATCGCTACCTTATAAAAACTACAAGATTACTCTTATGAATAGTGTTATGCCAATTATGCTCTTCAAAATATGTATTTACATATATACCCTCATTAATATGTATAAGTTTTTGTAATGAATAGTGTTTGGACAATTATACCATCTAGACATTTATTCACTGTCATTAATAATGATTACTTTTTGTTAAAAAAAAAATTAAGAATAGTGCATGGAATTTATACCCCTTAATATATTTGTTTATATATTTTTCACATTAAAAAGTTATCAAGAACTAAATTTGTGATATAAGGTTAAATTGAATAGAAAGAGATTTCATTGAAATTAAAAAAAAAAAATCGAAAGAGATATTGGATATGGCTAGGTATTGCGCGCGCATCGCGCGCATTAACTGCCCTAGTTATATTAACAGTCAAACTTATACATACTTTGAAATAGAGTGAGTGCTTTACAACAAATTTTGAGTAAGATGCATTCTTTACAAAATTAAGTTTATTGGGTGTGTTCTATTCATGTAAGTTTTTACTTATCAAAATTCACTTAAATTTATCTCAACTTATTACAAATATTTTTTTGTCATAAGTTGAATCCAATAACTTTTTATTCACCCGTATTGAAACTTAGAACTTAGGGTCTGTTCAGTTCAGTTTCAATCAGTTCAATTCAGTTCAGTTCAGCTCAGTTCAATTCGTCCAGCTCCTAAGTTCCTTCTCTCATAAAATATTCGTTTCAGCTCTATTCAATTCAGTTCAGCTCCAATCAGTTCAGCTCACCTCAGTTCAGTAAATGTGAACAGACTCTTAATTTGATCTAAACTTATCTATCTATACTCGGTATTTAAAAACATAAACCCCATTTGCCACATGTCTTCTATTCTTTCTACATTTTGTTATAATAATTTGCCACATGTCATTTTCTTTTACATATTTTTTTTTATAATCTTTGGCCTTCATTTTATGTCATTAGCTACTGACTTATTGTAAAACTTTTTCATCTTCCACCGTTTATGTACCAATAGCACTAATAATTTTGTAATCTTTTTCTCTTCTCCATTCATCTTTCAAATTCAATTTAGTTAAATATGTTACTTAATTCATTGATCGTTTATCGTCTACCCATATTTCCTCTAAGTATCTAATTCTAATAAGTCTAAAATAAAAAAACTCTAAACTTGTTGTGTAAAATCTGTGCTATGATAAAAATGGTGATTGCAATGAAATAAATTAAATCTCAAAGAAGGAAATCTTGAATGACAAGAAATGGAAAGGGTGTAATTGTGTAAGTATTTGGTCTTCAGTTATTTGATTTTATATAACTACAATGCATGTTAATGTTATAAATTGTAAAGTCATTTTCCTAAATGATTTTTGTAGCATAAATAATAACTTATATGAAGCATGTGCATAGAACGCGCCTAAAAGTTAATTTTATTTGAAATAAGGAACACAACTTAAACTAAATATATCATTTTAACTAGGAAAAATTGGTGGAAATAATCCCACCTTTTGAGCATCGGAGATTAATAATCCCACCTTTGGGATTCTTTTTAATAATCCCACCTTTGATATCAATCTGTTGAAAATAGTCCCGGGTGACGAGTAACCGGTTGAAGAGGTAATTTTTTTTATTAAGTTTATTTTACATGTGTCAGGATTTGATTTGTCCAAAATTAAAAAAAAATAGCATAAAAAAGTAAAAACAAAAAACAAAAAACAAAAAAAAGAAAAAAAAAAAGAAAAGAAAACCAACACCACCTCTGCCACGCCAGAACCACCACCATCCAAACCCATAATCAAAACCACCACCCAGACCCAAAACCACCGCCACCTACCACTAGCCACACTCAGACCCAAAACCACCGCCACCACTAGCCACACCCGAAAGTAGGGAAGCCGAGATCGGGACGGAGGAAGGGGATGGATCCCACCAGTGCCAGACCCTCCCCCTCCCCTAAGCCACTGCGTTGACGACAGCCAGCCCAACTCCAATAGTGGGATTTCGAAAAATTGAAACCCACCAAACCAGACCCAGAAGAAGAAGGCCGGAATCGGGATAGGGAAGGGGCGAGGTGAATAGGAGGGATGCGTGCAGTGGTTTGGCGGTCGGAATCGTTACGGGGAAGGGGCGAGGTGAAGAAGAGGAAGGCGTGGTGGTGGTTTAAACGTGCCTGGGTTTCGTGGAATTGTGGGTGAGGGAGGGGGTTGGTGATTCAGGTGGTTCAAGAGAGGAGGAGGGTCTGGCTTTGTTGTCATCAACGTCGTGTCTGAGGGCTTGGTGGTCGGAGACGTGGGGCAGGGGAACGAAATCAGGCGAAGGGATGGTGGCTGAAATGGGTGGGTTTGGTTTTTTAATTATTATTTTTTTTCCTTAAAAAAATCTATTTTTTAAAAATTATTTTATTTTATTTTTATTTTTTTGACCTATCACTGGCCGCCACGTGTCATGTAACTTGTATAACAGGTTACATGTCCGGTTGGGACTGTTTTCAGCGGATTGATATCAAATGTGGGATTATTAAAAAGAATCCCAAAGGTGGGATTATTAATCTCCGACGCTCAAAAGATGGGATTATTCCCATCAATTTTTCCTTTTAATTAAGGGTGTATTTTATTTAATTTAACAATAAAGTCTTGGAGCATGCATGAACAGTCGTCTCCCTCTTTCACTTTCTTACTTGTAGAGATAAATACATATGATGAGTTCCTCCTTTCAACATATATGTAGTAGATATCTCCATTAAATAGCATTGGAAAATCAAATATGAAATGTAAATATATAACCATGCCATATCTCGCTCTTAATCTTAATTACTTGAGCCGAAAGGCAGCCCCGTATCTGGAGCGGGGCAGGCAGGGCGGCCGCCCGGGGCCCCAGATTGGGAAGCCCAAATTATTTAGTAGAAGTTACATTTATTGAAAAAAAAATGTCAAGCCCATAATCTTTGTTAGATATTTCTCCCATAATTACTCATTTTGAAACCAGAAAATTTCCATTTTCCCAATAAATTACTTTTATAAATTTGTACCCCATATTAATTCCTTCCTGAAATCACGCTTATTGATACCAAAGATTTCCATTTCTCAAAACAATTACTTTCCTAAATTTTTATACCTAATAATTCCTTAATTTTGCTACTATCATTATATTTATTTTTAGCCTGTTATATATGTTCAATTCTTAAAATAAGAAGATCTTCCTCTCAAATTAATCCTGATTTCCGTTCAAAAAAAAAAAAAAAAATTAATCCTGATTCATACAGTATAAATAAATTATATATGGTGGCTAGCAATGCCTACAAGGGTTTAAAAGATTAATGTTGTTGACGAGATTGACAAAAAAATACTGAGCAAATTGATAGCAATAATGTGATTTCCATTTAAAAGCTTGTCTATTTCTTTATTCCTAGTTTGATTTTTGGGGGTTTTAAAATTTTGATAAGGGTTTTTTATGTTTTTGATGTAATTTTGTCATATTGTATTTTCATTTTTTTTTTGTTTTTGTACTAAATTTTCCCAAGTTACAAGTAAAATGTTATGAAGATTATTGGGTAAAAATATAAAAAAAGTACTCACCTTTATTTATGTGTTTTGAAGAAAATTGTACGGAGTACGGGAGTAGTAGTATGCATAATTGTTGATTGTGTTGAAATAAATTGGAATTTTTAAAAAATCTTTTTGTTACTCTAGTTGTGTTTTTTTTTTTTAAATTACAAAAATATTCTTTTTAGTACTCTGTATTTTCTTTTGCTTTTGCCTACCATCAATTTTTTTTAAAATAAAATAAAATAAATTAAACATTCGTTTTTTTTATCAAGGGCCCAATTTATAAGTTCGCCCATAGGTCTTGAAATCTCAGAAACGGGGCTGCCGAAAAGTTAAGTCATCATGCAAAACACTGCTAGTATTAATCTTAATGAAGTCTTAATCGCATGTGATGTGATATGAAACATTGCTTCTTGGATTAAAAAAGATTAAGAATTTTAAATACCTCAATTCTCAATAGCTTTCTATTTTATATACGAAGTACTTTTTAGAATGAATTATTTAATCAATATGTACTGACATTGCTCTTCTCCATATCTTTTTATATGCATTTTTTTAATTGAAAATGTCAATAAGGACAAATCTTGACTTTATAGTTTTCAATTGATCTTAGTTTGTTAATTATAATAAAATTGTTTACTGCATTCTCTTACAAAAGCTTTTGTAGATCCGATTTACACTAATATTATTATATTTTGATGGAAACATTAATTTTATTACACGGGAGTATAATTTTATTATATATTGGCCTTGGTAATTGTTAACTAGTTTATTGGAGTAACTCTTAACCATATTGGGTAACCATAAAATTCTACGAGTAATTTGTATAATTATTTTATTATAAATGGAAAGAAGATAATTTCTTAAAGATCAATTTTTATAATGACTTATGACTTACTGTGCAAATTTCTTTGGAAATCATCTAAAAAAATAGGTACTCCTAACTTATATTTTGTATAAAAGCAATTGTTGATTATATTAAGATAAATATTACAAGTATTTTATAACATTTCTAGTAGTTGTCTAATATTTTTGGTCTCTTTAACTAATCTAGAAATATTTTTTTATCATCCTACATAAATATTTTGCAGATATGCAGGTTCTTATAACATTTGATATACTCCATATATATATGACATAATTAACATTACTACAATAAAATATTCAGTGCATTTGAAATATCCAATGCATTACATGTTTTTACTGAAATAAATCACAATAATGGATAAATCCTAGGAAAAGATAGCGATAATGTTAAGCAATTATCTTAATTTAGAAGGTAAATAATCTGTAGATAATTATAAATATAATTGAACTAGTCGTCGTAAGACTGAGGTAGATGTGCTCATTTCCAGAAAATTGGTTAATTATATAACTATATATTTTCTCTATCTGTCAACTTGTCAGGTAATATTTTATCTCTAAATTTATATTAAACACAACAAGTTGACTTAATTAATCTGAACTACTCTAAGAATTGACAAATAAAACAGTTGGTAACCATTTTAGCTCGTAGTTGTGTTGTTTGAATGTACATAATAAGATGGCAATGCCTGTTGTTTTGGCTGTATTTTTGTGCTTTGCTGCAGTTTCTGATGCCGCCGTCAGTCAGAATGAGGCGTCTGCAGGTACGAAGCAGCCTTACAGGACGGCGTTCCACTTTCAGCCTCAAAAGAATTGGATGAATGGTGAGCCTTAATCAATCTCAACTTCATTTTGAATGATTATGCTATTTGTCTACTGTCAATTTAATGCTTAGCTTATTACTGTTTTTTCTATGTCCTTATATGTATGTAATTGATGGTGGGATTGTTGAATCGCGGCTACAGATCCTAATGGTATGTCATGTTCTCTTATAGTTACAAATGCTTCACAAAGTGGTGAGACTGAGCTTGAGTTATTCTCTGCATTTAAAAGAAAACGTGTAATTCGTGTAAAATTTGCCTATGACAGGACCATTATACTACAAGGGTGTTTATCATCTGTTCTATCAGTATAATCCTTACTCTGCGATATGGGGGAACATGACATGGGGTCATTCAATATCTCATGATCTAGTCAACTGGATTCATCTTGAACATGCCCTTAATCCAACCGAGCCTTATGAATTAGGCGGCTGCTACTCTGGATCAATCACCATACTCCCAGGAGGAAGACCTGTCATTTTCTATACTGGTGCAGACACTCAGAATTTCCAGTCACAGAATTTGGCATTCCCTAAGGACACATCTGATCCCCATCTGACCGAATGGGTGAAGTCGCCTCATAATCCTGTGATAGCCGCCACAGGTGGTGACATTGATCCAAGCAATTTCAGAGACCCTACAACTGCTTGGCAGGCTCCTGATGGTACATGGCAAGTACTTATAGGCGGAAAGATAGATGGCCGAGGGATGGCGTTTTTGTACCAGAGTAATGATTTTGTTAATTGGACTAGAAGTGAGAAGCCTCTTCACTCATCAGCAAAAACCGGGATGTGGGAGTGTCCTGATTTCTATCCTGTGACCATCAATAGTAAAGATGGAGCAGAAAACTATCTTATGAAAGAAAATACCAAATTTGTTCTTAAGGCAAGTTTTCTTGATCATGATCATTATGTACTAGGATTTTATAAGGCCGAAACAAATGAATTCGAGGTAGACACAACTGACTTCATGGAAGGTAATACTGATTGGAGATATGATTATGGAAGTAAATATTATGCTTCCAAGACATTTTTCGATGGTGAGACAAAACGACGAATATTGTGGGGGTGGATATTGGAGGCTGATGGCAGAGCAAATGATAAGAAAAAAGGGTGGTCAGGGCTTCAGGTAATATGTACTACTGACATTTATGAAGTTATAATCTTTCTTGGCAAATGTGGCTCTTTTCTTTTTCACTTTAAATTTTTGCTTTGATGTTATTCTTCGTCGTGAATGAACATTAGAAAGAAAGCTGTTATAACGGATGTGAAAAAGATTAAACGAAATCAACAAACACGAATAATTTATTTTGCTGTCATATTTCTATCTTTAGCACATTTGAGGATGAGGTCATTCTTAATTTGCAGTCTTTACCCCGAGTAGTATGGCTTAGTACTAGTGGAAAGCAACTGATGCAGTGGCCTATACAAGAGATTGAAAGTCTTCGTAAGGATAAAGTAGAAATCCAAGGCAAAGAACTCGAGAGTGGATCATTGGTTGAGGTTGTTGGCATCACACCAGCACAGGTAAGTCATACAGCAAATTATGACAGCAAATCTTTGTTCTTTTTAACAGCTATGAGGTGATTTATGGACTTATTCTTTCTGTTTTTAGGCTGATGTAGAAGTATCATTCGAGCCGCCAGACTTGGAAGATATCGAACAGATGGAACCTAGTTGGACTGATCCTCAGCTGCTCTGTGCTCAGAAAAATGCAGCAGAAGACGGCAAATTAGGACCATTTGGCTTGCGAGTTTTGGCATCCAAAAACTTGACAGAAGAAACTGTAATATTTTTCAGGGTGTTCAAGAGTCATAGTAGACCTATAGTCCTAATGTGTAACGATTTGAGCAGGTCGATTTCAACAATCAAACAACTCTATTTCCTTGCATAATCTTTTAAAATTCTCTGTTTTTTTTTCTTCATACTGTATATAATTGCACCTTTTACAGATCCTCCTTGAGTAAAGATATTGATAAAACTAGCTTTGGAGCTTTCGTTGACATTGATCCCCTTCAGGAGAATATCTCATTAAGAACTTTGGTAAGTGGAGTACTTAAATTTCTGTTTATTTCGTATTATCAATAAGTAACTCATATTTTCTATGTAATTCTGTTTTATAGATTGATCATTCAATTGTGGAAAGTTTTGGAGGGGAAGGAAAGGCGTGCATCACAGCAAGGGTCTACCCGACTATAGCCATTGAGAAGGAAGCAAGATTGTTCGTGTTCAACAAAGGAAGCCTTAGCATAAAAATCTCAAAGCTGAATGCTTGGAGCATGAAAGAGGCCAAGAGAGTATCATTCATGAAAAGACGAAAGCCTGGCGGCCCTGTCTAACATTAACGTTCTACAATGTAGCTTAGGAAACACAAGTATTCTAGGAGATCCTGGGATCGATTCTCATCCCCACCCTTGTGGCTCTCTAAACATAAAAAAAAAAACAAGTATTCTAGCTTGCAAATGATCATACAACTTGGTTTTGTGAAGTTCTTATATGTTGTGAAACTCTTTCTTAGTTTACTACTAGTAATTTTTTTCCGTTCTCATATTGATACCGAAATTGGGGTGCATGAAACTCTATATTGTAGGCTTCAACTTACATGTTTAAGGTCTAATTCTATTCGATAACAAGTTGTATAAAAAAAAATGTTGATCAAATTTTGAAATAATTTATTGGCTTATTGTCGTATGCAAAAAAAGGTACACTAAGATAAATGGTCATATTTCTTCAAAAAAAGATAAATGGACCCGAAATCTGAAGCGACCTAAACTATACCCGAATTGACCCGACTTAAAATTAACAAATACTCAAAATGACCTAACTGATTTAGGACTTAATTATTTTACCTAAGTAAACATTTATCGAACATAACCTAAATAAAACAGTATAGTATTGCGTGTTATTGATTAGGAACACTAGTTTTTGTTATTGTAATTATTAATATTACTCTTAGTTTCTTCTTTTAAGTGTTATATCAAATTTTTTTCCACTATTCACTTTCTAATTTGAATTTTTGACCAGTTAGTCAATGATAGTGATCATACATATGAAACAATACAGTCTTGTGCATATAGTATTGTTGGAAATTTCTAATGAATATATTATTAATATTCAACTGTTATACTTTAATTATACTTATTGATCTTTATAATATATTATTGGTCAAATTTCTACATCGACAAAGACGAAAATTGACCAGACTCGAACAGACCTGGCCCGAACTCTACCCAACCCGAATTTAAACCGACTCGAACTTGACTCGATAATTGAACCCCGAGGACTGACCCAACCCGAATTGACCCGATACAAAATGAATCGACCCAACCTGAAGTGTTGACTCGATACCCGACCCGAATTGCCATTGACCTGAAACCCCGAATTAACCCGCCTCAACCCAAATATTGATTGACCCGACCCGAACGTCACGTTTGCCTAGTCTAGATTTAGATCGCACACACAACTAAAAATACCATGTTCGCGTACTAGAAAATTTGGGAGAGCTAAGCTACGCATCTGTTCAAGCCTCAAGAAACATACGTCCAAGGGTGGCCCAAAAGTAAGTTGTGTGCATCCGTGCAAAGGAGGAGTGGGGTATCCACACCGAACCCACATAAACCCTTGCATATCTTGTTTACATTCTTAAATTGATGGATTGCTTTCACAACTTAAACATATTGTTTGGCATTATACACAAATCAAATATTACCTCAGTTTCATTTTAATTATAATAAAAGGATATTATTTAATTTGTGAGGTATAAAAAATTCTTTTATTACGACTAAAAGAAATAGAGTTAGTACAATAACTATAACACCAACCGAATCGGATGCCTTTTTCAAGTATCGATCGGGGTGGTATCAAATTATCCATCTTGCATACTGTAGTGCTTCGTTGCACTAGATGATGTCGAAGGTTAAATATGAACTACGTACGGGGCGGGCGACATGTCTTATCCAAATGCATAAACCAACGAACTATATTATTTAAAGTAACTGAATTTTCATCACGTGAAAATGTTGAGCTAACTCTTAATGGGCTTGGAAGATTAATCAACAAATTAAAGGGTTGGACCATGAAAGAGGCCGAGAGAATTCCTTCGTGAAGATACGAAAGCCCGGCCACCTTGTCTAACATAAACATTTTACCAATGTAGAATAAAAAACACTGCGAATGATCACACATCATGAATTCATGATTTTGTGTAATTTGATAGGTATTGTTACGTGTTGAAACCCGAATTCAGCTTGACTTGTTACTTTTTTTTTTTTTTTTGTAAACTTGACTTGTTACTAACTTAACTCGAATTAATGTCGTCCTTGTTCACCTGTGGCTTGGTCTTGCTCTGCAAGTTTCGCTATATAACTCTGGAAAGTTTGAAGATCAATAAGATTTCTTTGGCAGAGATCGAGCGTGGTATCGTGATCAACCGTAGTAATGTCATGGATGCTAGCCCTCTTAGTGTTTTTTGGATGTTTTTTCCTATCGTAAAACTTTTGGGCGTGGCTAGCTACTTGGATTGGAGACCTTGTTTTCACAACCATCCTTGATATACTTCTCCAATCACCTCCTCCATAAATCATTGCACCGATCACAAATAACCTACAATATATAAACAAAATTAGATTTATATATTTGGGATGTCAATTAATAAGGTGTAAATAATATGTAAAATAAAACACAAATTCTTGATTAAGGCGGATTTTTATCAAGTTATTGTAAGACAGTTAAAAAAAACATGCATTAGATGATTCTATTAGCTTTAATTTCATATCACATATCCATTTGAAATTACACATTAAAATACAATTAAACTTATTATAAATTAGAAGCTAAGTTACCTTTTAAAGTTACACTTACCTTTAAATTGACCGTCTTACAATAAAATTTATGTAAGTTCATTTTATACAAGTAATAATAAGATATGTAGGGTAAGGAGTTACGACTTACGCCACTATATTTTTCCAAATAAAAGATGCATGCCAGATTAAATCTTTAATAATTTGACGGATAACATAATTAAACATATGCTTTAAGAGAACAAAAAATATTTAAAAACCTAGCTACCTTCTCTAAAACATAAATAATTAAAATGATTTTAAGCTATTATCATTAACGTAAAAATAAAAAAGTTTTACCACTTACGTATTTTGACTTTTACCAGCTCACCAACAACTCGCCACACAGCAACCACCGCACAACGCTCCGACCACTGTCACGGATTCCAACCCCCTCTCACCGGATTCCGACCCCCTTTCTACCAATTTCCGACCTCAAAACCCTAGCCACCGAATTCTGACTATCCATAAAGCCCCCTATGACTGAATTCTGACCACTCCTAAACCCTTGCCACCACCAAATTTCTCACTCCTAAAACCCTAGCCACCACCTAATTCTGACCCCCTCCTTAGCCAATACCAAATTCTGAACCCTCCCTAGCCCTAACCGAAATTCTGACCAATCGAGGTGGGATGATTTCATTGTCGGCTGGTTAACATGGAAGATCGAGGAAGATGAAGAGGAAACGACAAAAAGGTCGGCCCTCAAGAATCCGTTAGTTGGTGGTAAAATCCAAAAATTTTTTTTTTATGTAGGTGGTAAAAGCAAATAAGTGGTATTTTGGAGGTGATAAAAGTCAAAATTTTTACCACAAACCACTTATTTACTTTTACCATGTACGTCAAAAAAAAAAGTTTTATTTTACACTACATAAAAAATGAAAGTTGACTTTTACCACTAATTGTGTATAAAAATTAGTGATGATCAATATTAATTGTATAAATTAATTGACTTATGCTTCTTTAATTATACATTATTACGTACCTGTGTTCATCTTTAGACCATTGAGTATATCTAATTTTCTTTTTCTTGTAGATGAAGTTATCGTGACCATTATTGTAGTTGTCGACCTTGTCATCCTTGTACTTGGGTATGCAAAACCTACCATTTTCGATCTCGTTCACATCGAACACAAGCTGATTGTAGTGATTCTTAATCTCATCCGGTGTTCTTGTGCCTCTGAAAAATACGTTAGCGATTGGCGTCCACCAGTCGAACTCGTCCGAACTAACGTATTCCATTGCTATACAATTTTCAAACAGCTTGTTTTCCTCAAAACTCCATGCTTTGTATTTACTCGATGATGATGGTAATTCCATTCTTTTACATTATAATTTAGTGGACTAATTAGTCAATTTTGTACAAACAACAAAGTCAAACCTTCAAACCCTAATACTGTACTAGGGTATGGTACAAAGAATTTATGAAAACTTTTCCATTAAATTTAAAAGAAAAATAGAAGAAATTTTGGACGATATAATGTTACTTTAATATGAATAAAAGTTTGTAAATATATACTGTTTGAATATGAATAAGAGTTGATTATGATTTATGCATAAAGAACCTGTAATTGAAATATAATGCATTTGTCAAAAAAAAATAAAAATAATAATGCTACTAGATATTTTTTTGGGTGCAATGTAGTGATGTACGGATAATACAACTGGTCTTCTATTGGATTTTTTTATAAGAATTAATAAGATAAAATTTACCAGAATCTTACGAGTATAAAACTAGATATTATCAATTGGGTATAATTTTAAATTTATTTTTTTTAAAAAAATTAATTGGCTATCATTATTAAGGAATTCATTCTAATTTTAATTATTTATCCGATTTTTGTCACAAAATTGACAAATTGTTATATGTATCTAGTCACATAACAGGGTTATCCTCACATATGTGGGGTTAGTTTGATGGAAAATGAGGTTACTCTTACATATAAGTGGGGTTGCTAAATACATGAGTTACCTTTTTTTAAAAATTACTTGATATTACTTTCACAATAAATTAAAGTTACTTTTATAGACAAAATAAGGTTACTCTACTCTTATACGTACATATATATAGGGTTGTACAGAGTGCGGTTTAGACCGCATCAAACCGCAATTTTGCGGTTTGGTGCGGTTTGCGGTTTGAAAATTGCGGTGCGGTTTTTTAAAATGATAAAACCGCGGTTTGCGGTTTAGTGCGGTTTTCAAAATTATTGAGACCAAACCGCACCGCAAACTACACTTTAATGTGGTTTGCGATTTTTATACTATATTTTCATTAAAATTATATAAAACAACTAAAATATATGAGATAATTTTTTACTATTAGTTAATTAAAGGTTAATAAAAAGAGTTTAATATTTAAATTATCAAATAATAATTATAATATAAAATAAAAGTTTTATTTAAAAAGAATAATTACAATTTTAATAAAATACGGTTAAACCGCACCACACCAAACCGCATCTTGCGGTGCGGTTTTTTTTAAAAGTGCGGTTTGAAAAAATTACAAACCGCACTTTTGCGGTATGGTGCGATTATGATCCAAACCGCACCAAACTGCACCGCGAATACCCCTACATATATATATGCTAATATCATTAATTTTACAAAGTAAAATAAAAATACGAGTGTAAAATTGGGGCGATGCTGCAATTTTGGGATGTGTTGTTGGGCTGAGAGTGGTATCCAATGACATACATCCCTAAGCCCAAAATCAAAACACAACTTTCTAATACTTTTGGGCCGTTTGGATAAAGATCAATCTTCCCATGATTTATTTTTTTTTGGAATGAAATTCAATTATTAATAGCAAAATGAAATCCGAGGCTTACAATATCGTAAAGTACAACCGTACATACTTTCACTCACGTAGTCATATACGGTAGAGTACTCTAATGGGCGAAGGTGGTCTATGGCATGAGTTGCTTGACTTGCTTCATTAACCTCCCTAAAAAAATGAGATAAAATACGAAAATATTGAACTACATGCATGTGTGTATGGGGAGATATGGAAAACAAGAAAAGAGCTCAACAGAGTGCAAGAAACAAGTAAAAAAATTTACAATAATTGCAAGCAAAGTGAGAACGTCAATTTCCTTCAACGTCCTCACTTAGGGGGCTAGTTGTATGGGGAGATATGGAAAACGGGCCGATAACGTATGAAAGGCTGGTATCTTAAGCGGGTTCGGTTCCTCAGCAACTATCAGACATATCGGCATTTATGCAAAAGACAGACATATCGGCTTGTTAGCGATCGACACGTGGCAGCAGCAATTTGACACTTGGTACAAGATAGTTTGCATGCCATGCAGCCACCTGTCATTTGAAAGGGGTATAAATAATCAGGTTTAATCTCATAATCAAGGTAACATTTATTACTCTCTCTCTCTCTTACTTTCTCTCTTTTCTTATCTTCTCATCTTCTTAAACACTTTCTGACCTTGTCATCGGAGTGTTTATCCGCGAATCCACCCTGGGATTTGCTAATCTCTGCTCTTTGTGTAAGTTCTCATTTGGACGATAGGAGCTTAACGGGTTACAGGCTCGAGCTTTTGGATCTCGGAGTTGGGTTATCGGATCCTGACAGGAACAATGTCTACATCAAAAGAAATACTTTCTACTCGTTTCTAAATACTTGCAAATAAATAAATAAAAATAATTAGAACCCTATTTTTTTTTCATGGTACTTGTAAAAATGTGTGACACACATAATAAAATGAGGTTGAAAAATTGTAAGGATTATAATTATACAACTTTTACCGAAAAAAGAAAACAAAAAAACAAACTTTTCAATTGCATTGTGTTGTCAGTATTATAACATTTTCATTTTAGAAATTTGTTAATTACAAGTATATAAAAAAATAAAAAAAATAAAAAAATAAAAAAAAGAAAGGAATTATTTTGGATGATTTGAAAAGCAACATCAATTTGGATATGTATCATTTATCAGTATCATTGTCGTTTGGGTTTATAATTGAATTATATTAACACATTTTGAATGCAAATCATGCAAGCTTAACAATGCATTATGCATATGTTTAAGAAGCAAGTTGTATGATCGTTGTAATCAAATCTAAGAGATCTTCTTTCTTTTTTTTTTTTTTTTTTCCTTTTTTCATACGTATATATCAATGTATTTCACCTATGAAGTTGAAGTCAATGTGATTCAAAATATAGCCGAAGAACTAATATTTACGAAGCTTAAGGTATTAGTACTTTCAAACGAACAAACCTAATAAAAAGCTCAAATCACCTAACTTTGATTATAGGGATTAGGGCATGCATGTCTTTATAACTTGCTAAATTACAGTCCGACCCGTCCAATGATCACCTGTTATCCTTACACATAGTGATGAAGTATTCGGTAGTTAACAACATACACTCTAGGATATAGATTTACTAAGTAAAGGTTGTACAAGAATTGGTAATAGACAAAGAAGGGCACGGGTGGGCAAGTCTCCTTGGGGATACGGGACAGCAGCCGTCAACATCACTTCACATGCTACTCTTTCTTTCTTTATTCAATCGCAACGTGTCCTTCTCTATATTGGACGACATTCGTCGACAGCTCACGTACACCTCCCATTACATTATTTTCATTCCTACGTAAATATTGCACTTATTATTCTATGGAATATTAATTGTAAACAATTAATTCTAACTTTTTTACTTTCTATGTAATAACACGATACTTTAATCACTATTACTACTCGTACATCTAATTAGCTCAACTATTGCGAATATGTTCATATCTAATGATTAAAATGGGGCAAATGTAATGATCTCATATACTACATTCGGTTCAAATTACTCGCAACTTTGGAATATTTTATATCTCACAAATAATATCCCAAAATTGCGAGTAATTTGAACTGGAGGTAGTATATAAGTTATATAACTGGTGCAATATAAGGGTCTAAGGCAACAGTCTCTTTATAACCATTGCAATGCTAGGATTTTTTTTTTTTTTTTTTTTTTTTTTTTGTTTTTGTTTGGCATTAGGTTTAATGAAACAGTTATAGGCATTATTGCTAGAGAATTAACTGATCTAATGTGCTCTTTAATTAACATAATCTTAAAGGTCTAAAACTCGCTATCATATACTTCATACGAAGTAGTTAAAAATAAGTGATTCACCATCTTATTGGATTAAATAAAGTAATACTGGAATAAATAATACAGTAATAAAAGTTTGGATATTAAATCTCATGTTAGATTAAAATTATGCATGGAAGCCGCCATAAATTAAAATATACTGTACTTAAAAAAAAAAAAAAAAAAAAAGGTTGGATAGCCACTTAGAAGTTAAACAATTTGTTCATTTTTCATTTGTTTTTGTTTACTGTTAAATTAATAAGCAACAGCAGCTTATATTATGGGATTATGAATATAAAATTAAGAATAATGGATGTGTATAACTGTAGACGTAGTAGGGTCAAGCCAAGCAATTTAATAAAGATTTAAATCTAAAGAATGTTACTCGTATATGAGTAGGCATTTAGGAGTGATGACTGACGAGCTACTTGTATGCATACAACATGATGTCCCCAGTATTTGAGAATTCTCTTATCTCTGGTAAGAGTGGTACATAAATATATTCTATAAATATGTTTCATAATAGACTAATATACTACGGAGTAGTATAGTACTCCTTCCGTTCCTTTATTTTTACCTCGTTTTCATATTTAGAGTCAAATTTTAAAAACTTTGATAATAAAGTACCCTTAATCTATAAATGATAATATAGCCATGTGTGATATTGTTAGATTTGTCTCACTGTATATTTTATGAATATCAAGTTTTTATAATTTTTACTTATATGGAAATAAAGATATAGACGTTTTAATACACATCTCTTAGAGACTTTGTAAAGTCAAATGGTACAAAAAAAAATAGGAATGGAAAAAAATAGTACTCCGTATTATACCAATTTTAAATTGAATCAGATTCAATCCATTATCATCGATCTCTAGTTGCATGTGTGAATCTAGCTATCTAAAGTGTGTAAGTATCCGCTAATGAGGAAGCAAGTTGCGTGTGAAAAAAGAGTAAGGAGGCTAAGATCAATTAGTTTTTACATACATTAGGATCTCTAGCTAACTCTTAAGCAAAATTATACTAAACTTAGATCGAATATGCGCTTATTTTTAATTTATAGTGCTCGATCATAATTAAAATTATTGAAAAGATAAAATAATGAAATTAAAAAGAATAAGGGAGAAAGCATGCTAATCACTGGACCAATCATGTAAGTAAAGAGGGTCAGAGGAAAGATGATTTCCTTTTAAACAAAAATTCTTTACATATTATCGGTCCACAAAATC